GAATCGAATTTGCCGAAAATGTATTGAACAAATTTCCAATTTTAAAATGAACGTTCATTTATCTGCCAATTCATTAATAAACAATGGACCGATATAGTTTTGCTGATAACTTTACCCTTTGCATTTTGATTCAAATTCCTCTGTTAATAATAATAAATGTGCTGTTTGTATCACTGGTTGGTCATTTCTAAATGCGTTTTACATTAAATATGGACGAATAAGATAACAGCGATACGTTCAACAAACACAAATATACGTTATAAATGAGCAGTGATGTTGGAATTTTTTTTGTCATGAACCAATTCTAATTCAATTAATTTGCATTTAATTTATTGGCTGAAATGTCCGATGTTCGCTTATCAAACTAATTCTTTGTTATGATAATAACAGCAGACATAAATGCAAACCACGTTTACATTCGAGATGGAAAATAGTTTCAACACTGAACGCAATGCTCTTTCTCCATCAATGCAGAATTTTCAAAGCGCGCACAACGGGGTTGAAGCATTCATTGTGTCCTCTTAATGGTAATGTTTATAAAACACAGTGAGTTTTCATTTATATCCGAATGCATTCAGCAATTTAACATTAATAAAATGTAGAATAAGCAGCCATTCTCATGAAAATACCTTTCGTTCCATTTGTGTTGTACAAATTCAGTAAATAAAAGAACGCTTTTGATAAAACTAATGGAAAATCCGCTATACAAACCAAATTAGTTATATTTTATCGATCGTCCGGTATAAAATGACCAGTTACCAGTTTTGGACGATGGGGTGAGTACGGAAAAGTGAAAAATCGTCGAAAAAAATATTGAGAAAATTGGCAATAAACCCCACCTACGGCGATTTTTCCTTCTTTCATCCGCTTTCTTTTTGCCATTTTCCTTCAAAGCGGCAACATGTGGCAAAACTTTTGAATCTACGTGTTCAGTTTGAACATCGCAGAAAAATGGAGTGAAATTGAATTTTTGTTATAACCATCTTCTTCGAACTTCTTCTGCTTTAAAGTAATAAATTCAGTAGCTCACGCATAACTAACACTCTAAACGGGTTGCATTGTAAATTCAGCGAGAAAATCCACCACATTTTGAACGAAGAGAGAGCGGGAGAGAAAGCGAAAAAAGAATCAAGACAGAAAAAGAGGTTAGCTAAAAACTTTTTCATATCGTGGCAATATAAATTCAGTGTTCGATGTGGGTTTTTTTTGGATGAAAATGAACAGGTCTTAAAGGTTATAAACAAATATAAGAAAAAAAGTGTTTCTCTTGCAACTGCTTGAGCTCGTGCTGTGCGTTTTGTGAATAAACGAACGCATTTTGACTTAAAACGAATATGCCGTGTCAATGTTTTTCCACCAGCATTACTGAATTGACTGCGTTTTAAAAATACTTTATATACACTCTAGGGGCTCGGAAGTATTTTTTATTGATGAAAAAACACACATAATCAGAAATATTGATATATTTTGAGTTTAAACTATAATAATCACCATATTCACGAATATTGGTACATTTTGAGTGTGAAGAATACTGTGAATAATCATGAATATTCCCAATATTTTGATTATCGTAAATATGAAAATGGCGGCAAATGATGTATGTCATTTTGTGGAATGTTATTTATAAAATCACACAAACTTAGAACACTTTTACCTATACATTTTTGATGTTCTTCAGTCAAATTATTTTTTTATCAAAGAAATATAAGTTTTTTAGGCTTTTTTAATTTTATTTTGTGTTGTGTGTGTTTTACATCGGTGCCATATACGAGCTGAATAATGACAAATAATTACGTAAATATGAGAAATATTCAAAATATTCTCAATATTTTCCATTTATACACCACATTCATACAAAATTGTCAAAACTGTGTTCATTTTTTTTTTTTTTTTTTTCATGTTCCGAGCCCCTAGTATACACTCAAAAGTCAATGTCTTTAAAATTCTCGGTGAATTTATATTTTGGCGCAGAACACGTGCCATGAAAACGCCTCTGTTGTTGGGTATTTATTCAGTGCACGAATTACTCACGTCAATTTAACTTACACCTCTACAATGTTTTCGTTGTCATTGCATCCATAACAATTTCAAATTTACTTCATTTTATTGGCACTTATGACGTAAACTATGGAAAAAGAAGAAATGAACAAATGAAATCTCCGTGTCATGCTTTACTCTGTATTTAAGCATTTTCTTGCTTTTGTCAATTCCGCTAATTAGTACATGAATTAAATAAACTTACTTTGCTTCCGAGATAACTCCAGTAAAATCGATAATTTTTTCTTTTCCCTTTTGCAATTCATCAACGAATGATAACCGATGATTTCAAATAAAAAAATCTCCGATTGAAGTATATGAAAACGGTGAAGAAGGTCTGCTTCGAATATTTTTGCTTCGAATATGTTTTTTTTTTTAATTGAAAAATATCAAAAGCAAATTCTTTACTACGATTCGAAGACCTAAATGAATTTTTGTTCACCAACAATGTTTGACAACCAATCCAAAACAAGCAAAACTGTCAAAAGTTTTTTGTTTAATTTTCTGCTCATTCGCCAAACCACAGCAAATATCTTTTCGCAACTTACCACACGACCCATATTACAACTTGTTTTTTTTTTGTTCATTGTTCACTTCATTCACAGTAACTCTACCGAATTGATAAATTTCAACGTTACTTTCATGTTTCATCTCGAGTTGAAATATTTACACAAACTTTTCGGGAGAATTTTTAATAAAATTTTCAAGTAAATCACAAACGGTTTAAGGCTTTTTGTTTGAACTATTCCAAGAATATCAAGGCAATAGAACGGAATAAATTTATGAATATGACTTGATGTAAAATAAATAAAAGCATCACCAAGCCAGAATCATTCGAAAATACGTCGATTATCATTAGATGAAGACAATTTTAACTGAAAAAAACGATTCTCATATGTTCTTTTTTTTTCATCGAAATCACTCATTTTGTTGAAGTTCTATAAACAATATTTCGTTGAAGGCATTTCCTGCCTCTGTCTTTTTCATATAATTTTCGAGTTTTCAAGCAAAAACTAATTTGCAATAAATTTTAAAGCATCTTAAAATGAGAGAGAAGCATCTTTGTTGTGCTTTGTCTTCTCTTGACCACCATGCATTATTGTGGGACAATGTAAATTTTCCAGTTGGTAAGGCGGAAACAGATGGAAAAAAATCTACCGGCATAAATAAAAGGAAATAGAATGGAAAAAGAGCATTTTCATCGTAAGTAGTTAAAATGAATTATTCACGGATAATTTCATCTAATTGGAATCGGAGAAAAAGAAAGCCGGCGCTTAAGAACAAAATGATTTTCCCATGTTTCAGTCTCATGTTGTGCACCCAAATCACCTTCATTCTTTTTTTTTGGGACATTTCCTCGAATCCAAATGTGAATATTGAACAAAAGTTAAACCATAAAATGACCATTCGAACTAATAAATAACATAAACGGAAAAAGTGCTGAACTGAGTTAAAGATGTACTCACACACATGCGTTTCTCTCTCTCTCTGTGTGTGTGCATGTGTACGGATGTGAAAGTATCTGGGAATATTTTAGCTTTTGTTCTTTGGTATTTCTACAAAACGAGAGTTTCTTCTATTTCAAATAAGAAAATCTTCTCTCGATGCTCGTATCGCTTTATTCGTAACATATGATAACATTCAGTTAAAGACAAAGTAATAAATAGTTTAATGAATATGCGTTTTTGTTGCTTGCTTCATTGTGGCGTTATAAGACTCTGAACTGAAGAGTGTTTAGATGAACTTGAGCGAGAATGTTCAGGTAACGAATCAACTCGCATATGTAAACATTACTGAAAACAAATACACACACAACATAGAAAAGTTTCTTTTTTTGCAAGTCGTGCGGTTAAAGTTCTCTTCTTCAGACTTAGTTCTTTGTTCCAAAACCGGTAGATATATACTGTGTGTGTATATATAAAGTGATAACTTTATTGTGTAAAACGGCAACTTCTATTCAACGGCACTGAATATTTTTCACAGTGTATGCAGCAGATGCAGACATTAAGTTTGCAGTGAAAACCGTATCTAAGGCACGATTAGGTAGGTTTAGAAGTTTGGCTATAGAAACTCGGTCGGACTTGTTTGGATGTTTATGCGCCTCCATTTCGATGCATATATGCATACGCACACATTTACTCGCATGTGATAATGACGGAAAGAAAGTGAGGAAAATAGAGAATTCGATGGAAAAGTTTTCCATATATGTTACATCATGTAAGAAATCGATGTGTGGTTTTCTTTTGGTCTTCTTTTCTTCTTCTGCCATCGTTATATGTACGGCTCAAAGTTTTTCACATGACAGGAATTTTTACCAAAATTGTTGGAACATTTACCGGAATTTTAACCCCACCTACCCATACACAAACGCATTTGAAGACTTTATCTTGTCTTTCATCCGTTCGTTTGGTGTGCATATTTTTTACAACAAAAGTTCAATGTAGAGACAGTGAAATAAAAGCGCCCAAGGTATAAATGAATTTCGATTTGGTTGCAGATATTTTGGATAAACTATAAGTTTATGTTTTATGGGAGTGCCCCGTTTTTTTGTACTTCACTTGCACACCGTGCAATGGTGTATGTATATGCGTCATTTTGAGTTGAGTGCAAAAGGTAGACAGCGAAATGCTTGATCTAGCTACTTTATTCATTTTCAAAGACATTTAACATCACAAAACTTCATCATCATTCGAAATAAAACAAATGCAGAAGAAACTTTTCTTAATCGTTGCGTTGAAAATGAATCATTTATTATGTGTGTATATGGTTGTTGTAAATGTTTGTTCCCATGATTCAATGGTTATGCGGCTACTTATTAGACATATATACTACATTTCATTGTCTGTTTGATTCTGCTGCATTTTTGATCAAACTTTTTTTAGTTATACAGAAGAAGTGATTATACACTATGAACAAGCCAAGGGGGGTTGACGTATATGAGATTGGAGACTTTTTTTTGCGAATCTCGCTAATGAGCGCCATCTGATTTTAGTGTGAATTAGATGCAAAAATCAAATTTATTTCAATAATTTGGAATGTATTTGAATGTTATAGTTTCAACACAAAAATTGTATTAAAAATCATTCAAGTAAATCAAATTGAAATTAAATCAATTAAAAATCATTGTACACACACATAAAGCATATAAAATAATACAACTAAATTATAAATACTCACACCATTCTATGGGAACCTAACAAAATCGTATTATTTCAAATTAGAATTATTTTTATTTCATATAAATGATTCTATTTATTTTTTCAAATTCATTCTATTAGAATTATAAATAAATAAATTTCTATTTATTACAGAAAATAATGATTCATTATTAATGAAACAGAAAAAATTCTCCACAATGTGAAAATACGAAGTTACGTATATATTATGACAGCTGTGGTTACGTATACGTCGACATTAATAATCTGTCAAAACCGTAAACACATTATTTTCATAACGCAATTTTGCGATAGTTTTTGTGTGCAAACTGTAAGTTATTTTGTGATTTTATTGTGTTTAGATTGAATACGATTTCATAAATTGTTGAAAAGTGATTTTACAGTAACAAGAAATGTAAAGCAGAGAGAAAAAAAACCAATAAATGAGTTTAGAACGTTTAGAATCATATGCACATTTTCGTGATATTCTAACCTCAATCGCTCTTCACTCTCAGTTTAACATTTTTTATATCAACAATTATTTTATAATTTAAACAGGAAACGCAAAATGGTTTGGTGCGATATATGCCAGCAGAATATTTCGGGAAACATTTACAAGCACAAAAGAGTTGAGCACAGTTGGGATCGAGGTGGTATTAAATTGATTAAACAGGAAGATAAAACTCTGATCGAAGCTATACAAAACGAAAAAACATTCGTTGGACCTTCGCTGTTATATTTGAAACGTCTCGCAAATTATGCGGTAACACAAAATTTTCAAGCCACATTTTTTGGAGTCGACTCCAAGCAATGCCAAGCAATCCCAATTTGAAGATAATTCTAATGTCAGCAACGCTAAACAGCGAAAAATTCAGTAGATATTTCAATGGTTGTCCGATTATCGATGTGCCTGGGCGTACTTTTGATGTTCAAACTATGCATCTCGAAGAAGTATTAATCAAAACAGAATACAAAACGAGCAAAATGGCCACATATTTGGAAGAGAATCAAGTATCGCAAATTCGGCGTATAAAAGATGGTAACTATTAAATGACATACTAGATATTACATATCGGTTGCCTTATGAAGCACAAAGATTAAATCGTTGCTTAGAAAAACGCATCTTTACGTAACATATTAATTTATTGTTTATTATTTCATTCTATAGAAGACATGCCGCGATCATATCGCTTAATGTGCGACAGTCGCCTGGATTCTTATATTTTGCGAAAAGATTGTGAATCATTTGAAAACGTTTTTTCTCTCATTGAAGGCGACTACATGCCGGCCAATTATGTTCATCGTACAAAGCAACGCACCGTGTTGGGAATTGCTGCGGAAAATGGTTCACTGAATATGATGTTAAAGCTTTTGGCTTTTGGTGAAAGTGCGACCTTTAAAGATCCATTTGGTAAAAGCACAATTGATTATGCGAAAGAAAATAAACAAGAGGAATGTTGTGAGGGATTGTGAGCTCTTAATGTGTTATGAACGTGTGACATCCACCACAACATGGAAAAATTACGTGGAAATTGGAAGAGCGTATCGATCAACACAAGGCACACAAAATATTATTGATCACAACTTACTTTTTCATGTCATTGATCATATCCATGAAAATACGTCAAAAAATGGCGCTATTCTTGTATTTTTGCCCAGCTACGACGATATATGCGAACAACATGAAAAGTTAGTAAGCGTACATGGATTACAGGATTGGGGTTATAAGATTTTTGCGCTGCATAGCGAACTAAATGATGAAAACAATGAGGGTCATGCTCATGTCTTTGATCGCATGGAAAATGGCGTTCGAAAAATAATATTATCTACAAATATTGCAGAAACAGCACTTACAATAGATGATGTCGTCTACGTTATTGATGCCGGAAAAGCAAAATCGCTGTTTTATGACGCGGAAACCAAATCGACCATTCTCGAATTAAAGTCTATTTCACAGGCATGTGCAAAACAGCGCAGTGGCAGAGCTGGTCGCGTTCAAAACGGCTTCTGTTATCGTTTGTATTCATTGGAACAATACAAAATGATGCACAAATATAAGCCAGCAGAAATTGTACGAGTGCCTATAGCGAAAACTATTTTTCAAATTTTATTTTAAAAAAACATATTAATCAAATAAATGTAATTTCAGTCCAATTTATTTAGAAAGATGAAAAATGGCTTTTATTTTCGGCAAAGGTATAAACGTATAAATTATTTTGTATTCAATGTATTCAATTGAATTCACTTTGAAATATTTTTTTTTTGTGTACATTATAACTAAGGCAATTTGTGTAATTTTCTTATTATATCGCATTCATTGCGCAGAAAATGAAACGAAACTATTACTATTGACTAATAATAAATGAATGATCGGTATTAAAATTATGGTAAATATAAAAAATAAGTTGGAACGATAATATGAATTTTTTTTGTATCAATAACGAACAAATTGACATAAAAGTTCTTCCAATTTTGGTAACAAACTTTCAGCTTCCGATGGTAAAACTGAAATATTTTTCAGAACAAAGTTGCCGTTCTTTCGTTTTTGTTTTTGTTCAAATACCACAAGTCCAGGTTGATTTAGGCTAGCTTGTGACACAACAGATGACGGATGTGGATGGGTATTTCCAATGCTGTTCCCATTATTCACAATATGGTTAGGATAAAACCCAGCCATGATGCATGCGTTCACCATATTCCAATTGCTGGAATTTTCGTTCAATTCACGCATTGATTGCGAAATCATACCAGATTTGCATATGTAGTCGAAGATTAAACGTCGAATGCCTTCGGCTTTTAACATGTTACCTTGTGAAATGTAATTCTCGACACAAAATTTTCGTTGATGTTCCCGTAATTGTTTCGACCAATTCTGAATTATATTGAAATACAGTTGATGGTCGCTATATTTATTTTCTGCGAATCGATTTTTTGTTTCATTGATTTTTTCAGTCACTTCCTGTGTATTTTCAAATGAAAGTACGAATAAATCTTTCACCGACAGTGCACTGGAAATCATAACAATGGGATCCAAACATCGCAAAATAATTGCGTAGAAGAGTGTCTTACTCAATTGACAATCGATTGGCATGTTTACCAAATGTTTACAAAAGTACAATTTCTGCTGGCTTATATTTGTGCATCATTTTGTATTGTTCCAATGAATACAAACGATAACAGAAGCCGTTTTGAACGCGACCAGCTCTGCCACTGCGCTGTTTTGCACATGCCTGTGAAATAGACTTTAATTCGAGAATGGTCGATTTGGTTTCCGCGTCATAAAACAGCGATTTTGCTTTTCCGGCATCAATAACGTAGACGACATCATCTATTGTAAGTGCTGTTTCTGCAATATTTGTAGATAATATTATTTTTCGAACGCCATTTTCCATGCGATCAAAGACATGAGCATGACCCTCATTGTTTTCATCATTTAGTTCGCTATGCAGCGCAAAAATCTTATAACCCCAATCCTGTAATCCATGTACGCTTACTAACTTTTCATGTTGTTCGCATATATCGTCGTAGCTGGGCAAAAATACAAGAATAGCGCCATTTTTTGACGTATTTTCATGGATATGATCAATGACATGAAAAAGTAAGTTGTGATCAATAATATTTTGTGTGCCTTGTGTTGATCGATACGCTCTTCCAATTTCCACGTAATTTTTCCATGTTGTGGTGGATGTCACACGTTCATAACACATTAAGAGCTCACAACCCTCACAACATTCCTCTTGTTTATTTTCTTTCGCATAATCAATTGCGCTTTTACCAAATGGATCTTTAAAGGTCGCACTTTCACCAAAAGCCAAAAGCTTTAACATCATATTCAGTGAACCATTTTCCGCAGCAATTCCCAACACGGTGCGTTGCTTTGTACGATGAACATAATTGGCCGGCATGTAGTCGCCTTCAATGAGAGAAAAAACGTTTTCAAATGATTCACAATCTTTTCGCAAAATATAAGAATCCAGGCGACTGTCGCACATTAAGCGATATGATCGCGGCATGTCTTCTATAGAATGAAATAATAAACAATAAATTAATATGTTACGTAAAGATGCGTTTTTCTAAGCAACGATTTAATCTTTGTGCTTCATAAGGCAACCGATATGTAATATCTAGTATGTCATTTAATAGTTACCATCTTTTATACGCCGAATTTGCGATACTTGATTCTCTTCCAAATATGTGGCCATTTTGCTCGTTTTGTATTCTGTTTTGATTAATACTTCTTCGAGATGCATAGTTTGAACATCAAAAGTACGCCCAGGCACATCGATAATCGGACAACCATTGAAATATCTACTGAATTTTTCGCTGTTTAGCGTTGCTGACATTAGAATTATCTTCAAATTGGGATTGCTTGGCATTGCTTGGAGTCGACTCCAAAAAATGTGGCTTGAAAATTTTGTGTTACCGCATAATTTGCGAGACGTTTCAAATATAACAGCGAAGGTCCAACGAATGTTTTTTCGTTTTGTATAGCTTCGATCAGAGTTTTATCTTCCTGTTTAATCAATTTAATACCACCTCGATCCCAACTGTGCTCAACTCTTTTGTGCTTGTAAATGTTTCCCGAAATATTCTGCTGGCATATATCGCACCAAACCATTTTGCGTTTCCTGTTTAAATTATAAAATAATTGTTGATATAAAAAATGTTAAACTGAGAGTGAAGAGCGATTGAGGTTAGAATATCACGAAAATGTGCATATGATTCTAAACGTTCTAAACTCATTTATTGGTTTTTTTCTCTCTGCTTTACATTTCTTGTTACTGTAAAATCACTTTTCAACAATTTATGAAATCGTATTCAATCTAAACACAATAAAATCACAAAATAACTTACAGTTTGCACACAAAAATTTAATTTTTTTCAACTAATAGGAACTCTCGCAAAATTGCGTTATGAAAATAATGTGTTTACGGTTTTGACAGATTATTAATGTCAACGTATACGTATACGTAAACACTTTCTCCACATTGTGGAGAAAAAAACAGATATGTGGCATACCAAGAGATGGTGTTGTATGTTATGAATCTTTTTTCATTGTTTGACATCAGGGGGGGTTGGAACAAGCTGTTGATTTTTCATGATGCCACCACTGAAACGTATATCTTTTAAAATATTCCTGCTTTCCCATTGTCAGGTTCAGTAACAATCCGACGGTCATGATCGGACATCAACCGAATATAAGTACCTCACTTTGGGAAAACTGTTATAAATTGCCCTTTTGGCTGAAAACGCATTTTTTGCGAATTTTTTATGTGCGATAATTATGTACTCTCCGCCTATGAAATCAAAGAAGCGATACATTCTATATAATGAGCGTATACTTTCCACTTAGTCCATTGCAACGGAAAACAAGTTTGCATAGAATGCAGCGCCAACTATATGCGAATTTTATTTTTTATCGTTTTAGGCAATAAATCTATGGTTTTCTTATGGCTTCTTTTCAATTTTCCTAAAATTATGTGAGATCCAACGATACCATTTTCCAAAAAAAAAATTATAAATGCGTAGGAATTATGTACTAATCATGTACTTTTCAAAAATATATTTCGGTTTGCCAACTTATTTTCACATTTATGCATGGTTTCAGGATTCGACAGACTTTTAAAAATTGCAACTCGATGGAAAAGTGGTATAAATCGATGATTAAACAAATTTGTACGTCTCTACTATTTGGAAAAAAGTCATAACTTTCGATTTGAATGTGTCCAATCGATTAAATAAGATAGAGCATAAAATGTGTATATCATTTATATCATCAAAAGACATTCGCTGTGTCTACTGTCTTTTCAATCAATTATAAGAAGTTATCAGTCTATGGCATTGTGTTCTCGTCAAATGTCAGTTGATCGAATAAACATTGGTTTTCTGCTTTATTTAAAAAAAAACCTCGTCACATCAAAGTTAGAGACAATTTTCAATACAACATGGTATGGGTAAAATGTCAGGAGTTGAAGTTGAATGAAGACATTTATACTTTTCGGAACGGTCTTGAATAAATAATTTACCATCCCACTGGATGAAATCCATTCATCGTATTTGTTGAGCGGTAAAATATTTGTCACCACTTGAAAAGATGATTCATCAATCATTCTGTTGGCAGAAAATTATTTCGATTTTCTGCATTTCAAACTGAGATTTTAATGGAAAAAGTATTTAAATTTATGAATGATGAGGTAGAGAGAGACAGAGAAAGAGAGAAAGAAAAGTTGCATGCAGCTGTCAAGCTTACTTACTAGTCAGATCTGAAAGATTTAGACTAGATTGGTTTTTTATTTTTAAATTGAATTCATGTGTTTTCTGACGTCGCGGACTTGTGCTTTTTCCCCTCAAATACCAATTTCATTTTTGGTCATTGTTCGACTATGGCTCCAAAGGATTTACTACTTTGCAATGTGAGAAACAATGCGAATTTTCTCCATACCGCACCATTTACAATCTCTAATCCTATTACGAAAAAAAAAACTTTTTTTTTGTATGGAATTCGATTTAAAGTGGATACATTTCACGTTAGCATAACTTTTCTCTTGGTGTACTCAATTACTATTTCGTTCAAGTTTTTGGCACTTTTTGCGTGCCATTTCATTCAAACATAGATGGATAATGTTTCGTGCCGAGTGTTGGCAAAACTCGTATTTTGTTGTTGTTGCATTTGCTCTGTCTACATTTGATAGAGTATATGCATGCAGAACATTTGTAAACCATCCATCTTATAAATTTCGCATAAATTTTCCATTTACAATGTCGAAACAAAGCAAAATGCATAAACCAAAGTGAATTTAACTCAACACATACTGATGGTTGCAACAACAACAACACACAAAAGATGACGGCGTCGATGATGATGATGACGACAACAATAACAGCATGGTAGTGACGCCAACTCGATTACATACAAATATACAAATGCAAATTTTCCATTTTGCTTATCAAAATATTTGTACAAGTTTTCATTCGTCCAACTACCATTTTGGGTGACGGAAGCCTTTTCGACTCCCTCCACGTTCTGCCGTTCATTCGTTGTAAAAATCGTGTGCAGTCGATGCGATAAAATATGCTTTTTAATGGACTTATTTTCGTGTCGCTCATCAACATGGAGGCTTCACTTTGATTCACGAGAACTCTTTTCAATTACATTGTATCTCTCCCCCTCTCTCTCTCTCTCTCTCTCTCTCTCTCTCTCTTTCTAGCTCTGTCTTCATTCACTAAAACAATACGTAAATCCCACATAATAACAACAAAATATGAGACAAAGACAACAGAAGCATTAGCACAAAAAATGGTCGCCACTGCTAACCAAGCACATAAATTGAAACAAAATGAAGTTATATCAAATTCATTCTCATTAAATTTATGTCCTTGATGATATCCAGTGGATGGGTCCATAGAAAGAGTGGAGAATACAACAATATAAAAAAGATGAGCATACACCATTCCAAATGAAAATGGAGACCATCGAGCTACGTAATATTCAACATACTGTGCAATACATAGGGATGAAAACATATTTTATCTCGAAATTTTTGTTGTTTTTTTTGGCATATAAAACAAATGATTGTACTATGCTTTGGCAACGCACGATTGATTCCAAACATTACATTTTCAAAATGAAAAGGTAAAATTCAAAAATTCTCGACGCATACAACTAATCCGACGGCAAGCGATAATTCATTGAATCCGAATGGTATTTTATTAATAACACGTTCAACGCACGTACATAACTCATTTTTTTGTGCGTTTCGATTCCGGTGTGTATGCGTTTCCATCGTCTCTTTCGGTATCTATCTCTCTTCTTCGTCTCTCATTTTCAGTTTGTGTTATTTTGTGTTTGTTTAAGCTCATTGTCCATGGTTTTGGTGTCTCAGTGAAGTTGTTTTGTTTTCACTTCTCATAATCCTTTTTCTTCGAATTCGTATCTCATTATCTGCAATGTTTTTCAAGTTTAACATCCATTTTTTCCTCTCATACCCGAAGTATTGCTTCAGCATTACATGACTTCATGTAACGTGATATTAATGCATACAAAGACGGTCGGGAGGAAAGAGGCAACAAGGATTATCGCCATGCGATCAAATGAAGGGGTTTGCAGTAAATGAAAGGGTTTCAATTTTCATTTGGAAAAAAGAACGGATTCAATATTATTTTGAAACCTTACCGCTGCACTCAATTTAATGGAAGACCATATTTTTCATGTTTGCTCCATTTTTGAACGATAATGCGCTTTTTTGCGATTGATTTAATTGCCATTGCTCATTTATAGATGCTTTGAGTTGGTATTTATTGATGCCGTCAGTTAAAGTTTGCGATCTAATGACAATTCTTTCAATTACATTTGCGATTTTGCTAGCATATCTATGTTGTAACCCGCTCATTCTTTCTCTCCTTTCCTCGTTGAACTTCTACAAATGAAAATGTCAGTGGAAAGTAAAGAAGAAAAAAAAACTTCGCAGAAAAAGAACTGTTTGTTGTTATCGAAATCGCAGCATCAACGCTCATTTTGTTCGTTTATTGTTGCATTTCTGTCATCCTCTATTTAATTCCTTTCTCATTCGATATTTCAGAAATATACTATAATGTTGTTTACTTCACTTTGAATTGTGTACACTTTCAGAATATTGCACAATCAGATCATGGTTGCCTTTGTAGTTTTCGTTTGTCTATAGTCCGTACACACGAACGATTCCGGTCTTGCATCACAGCAAATTTCTAATTGGATAAGTTTCGCATCGAATCTGATAGGATGAAATCGAACAAGAGTCGAAATGGAATCGACATAAAACTGCAACCATTCGATTTTCGTCTCTTTTTTCTCCCTTTTTCTCTTCGCACTGATATTTGTTATTTCTGCATTAGCTTTCTGTCGCTTTGCCGCTTTTGTTTGTATTTTGTTCACTTTATTTTAGCAATATTTTATATATTCCATTCTTTATCTTTCTCTCTTACGCTCTCATTCTCTGTTTTCGTTCAATTTCAATTTTATTTATTTTTTTTGCCAAATGTGTGATTGGTTTTACTGTACGATTTTGGTCATTCTCTTTTGCCATGTGTCTTGGGGAATTTGATGGTTTGTTCATATATAATAAGTCCCGTAGCTCATTTTATGTTAGATATTGGGTTTGTCGTGTGTTGGGTGCCAAGTTTTATGTTTGAGAGTTGCGGCCGAAATTCCATTTATTGAAGGATTTAGTTGAGCATAGAGAAATGCGTTTAGTGCTTGAAATTGAAACGGCAACAAAAAGAATAA